ATAATTATTCAGGTAAAAGATACAAGTTTCCTCAACCTGAGAAGAAACAGAAGGTTCAAGCCTGCAGTCTGAGTTCCTCACCAGCTGGATTACTGGTGTTGGAGTACAGTGTTGGTGGGGAAGATAGTCAAGCCTTAAATTTCACAGCTGTGAATCTCCCACCCATTTAGAATCTGAATTACTGTCTGTTTTGAGTTGAGCTCATTTGTGAAATCCAATCCCTAATCTCCCTGAAGTTACTAAAAATTCATAGCAAGGAGAACCCAGGATATCTATCACCTTCGAAGTAAGGCTTGGACTTGCAACAGGCAAGGATAGCTGCATTCACTGTAAGTAGAGAGCATGGTGAATGTAGTTCCTGTTCTGCTTGGTACCTCACAAGGCCTCAACAGCATGAAATCGTCAGGGTTAGTGATAGGAAGGCCTTCAGACTCCCACAGATGCACAATGAGAGGGGGGTGCAGATGGACATCAAAATGTCTAATAGGATTAGGTATGTTCGCCACCTTGAGGTGACTCTCTCTCTCTCTCTCTCTCTATATATATATATATATTTAAAAAGGTGGGATAATATAATAACAATAAAGCTCTGTCGCTTACATATTTATATGTGACATCATGATGCAAATGTAAAAAGGGCAAAGTTGACATCACATATTTCATCATTTGCCCACCCTTGGAGTATATTTATTTATTCATCATATTTCTATGCCTGCCCATCTTACAAAATGTGACTCTGGGTGGCGTACAATATGAATCAAGATCCCAAGCCAGAAAAATAAATGGAAATATATTATTTTTCCATCTTATTATTTTCCAATTAGAGTAAAAATAAGTGTGTGCATGTGACTTTTACTGTAAGATGACACAAAAATAGTATCACCTGCTAGGTTATAAGATGAACCTCCTGAAAGCATTTTGAGAATCACTAATTCTAGGCTTCTATTCCTCTGGTCATCTAAAATCACCTTGAAGAACAGGACTGGGGTGTATCTCTGTGGATTTAATTTCTCCATGCATGGACTTTGTAATTTCTTTGTAATATTTAAAATTATGTGTTGATGTGCCATAATTAAGCAGAACAAATGAATTTAGAAGGACTACAGAGTCCCCAATTTAGAAGGAGTACATCTATCTGATTTATTTGATGAAACCACTAGGTAGGAGAAAGCAGTTAAATATTTTTAGCATACGTGCATAGACAATATGAATCAAGATCCCAAGCCAGAAAAATAAATGGAAATATATTATTTTTCCATCTTATTATTTTCCAATTACAGTAAAAATAAGTGTGTGCATGTGACTTTTACTGTAAGATGACACAAAAATAGTATCACCTGCTAAAAAGGATGGGGGTAATTTTCAGAGGATGGTAATCCCTAAAACTGAAGATGAGGACAATCTGTTTAAGAACAAGGATCTTAGAACATAATTCCATCATTTTATATACTTCTGCAAATATGTTAACCAGCTGGGCTATTACAATGAATGGAAGAAAATGCTGAAGTGAAATTAACTACAGAAAAGATAATATTCCACCACTAGGTGGTGTACAAGGCCAACAGCAAATCAAGATATTGACAAGCAAAATGAAGATTTAACCTCACTCTCACCTCAACCCCTCATCCAGTGGAACTTTCCCATTTAAAGAATTTATCTTTCATCCTGAACAAAGGATAATGACAAAACAACTCCCCGGGCATTTGATGGGAATTTACAAACTATATAGTACGATCTGCATTTTCAGTTTTTAGAGTTTACATTTCTAGTCCACTGAGTTGAATATACATGTTTATGGTTATACCTAATGGTGCTGTTCCACTGATAGAACAGTATCTGCCAAAGAAGAGATTCTTCATTTCTCACTCCCCTCTTAAATCTCTGCTCAAGATAGAGGATATCTTGGAGCAGATTTGGGACTTGCACAAAGGGATATGGAGCGGAGAGAAGGAAGCCCCTCTGTATAACCTACCATAGAAGGGTGGGGAAAATACAGATAAACACTAGAAGTCAGGAAAGAGGTATGGAAAATCCAACAGTGTTGCTATCTAGCTGTCATCTGGATTCTTGTAGCCCCAAAATTGGAGCTCTAGCTTGCATCAGGCTCAATGAAACTCTAAAAATATAGTAGCTGTATAATTTAAAATATTTACAAGAATATTGCATGATCCTACAGAACACAAACATCTGGTCAGCTGCTTTGGACAGACTTTGTTATAATGGAGTAATAGAGATACAAAGTTCATCTTACTGGATAAACACAGCATGACATGAAAACATTTTTTTAAAATGTGCAGCTGATTTTATTCAGAGCCTGGAACTCAGCTCTCCAATCAAGTTTAAAGAGCACACAGATTTCGGTATACCTTCATATTATTCCATTCTTCAAACTGGTATCTACCAGCGGTGTTGGACTCCACAACTCTTTTTTATCTCTAGCCAACACATTCAAAGACTTCAGGCTGGAAGATGCTGCTTTAAAGGAAGGGATAATGCAGCTGAAGCAAATTTTGTATACAGTGACTTATTTATATTTATTTATGCAAGTTATATTAGCATAAACTGAAAGTTAGGCTTGGGTTTTTTATTGGTGGAGGAACAAAACCAGCTTAGGACCTGGGTACCTGTAGGATTGCCTTTTGCCCATCCAGCAAGATCTAAAAGGGTTGGCTTTCTATGGCTCTCTTCCCTCTTGCTTTTCTGGAAAACCAGGCAAATGTGGTTACTCCAGAAGGCCTTGGGAGGGAGTCTGGGTGTGAGCCACTCCCATTACGGCTATATGGTGGTGCTGTTCTTTTGGCCTTGGCAACTTTAATGTAATATTGATATGGTTGTTAACTTGTTTAACTTCCTTACTGTAAAGGGGAAATGGAAACTGCTCAGAATATCCCTCGACTGAAGAGGCCCATAAACTCTAGAAATAATAATATAATTTTTTTTTCTTCAGAAAGCATTAAGAAATAATATTCAGTACTGGAAGGATCCCATTTTTCATTTATTAAGCTTCCCCTCTCATTTTTTTTTAATGGTTGTATTGAATGAGCCAACGTTGCACATTACCAGTTGAGCCAGTGTTGCAAACTGTGCTACATTTTAAACAATTGTGCAGAAAACAAGCCTTGTTGCTGTTAGAGACAGGCACCTATTGCTTAAGCAAACTCCAATTCCCTCCTAAAGGTCATTTGGAACAAGGGATTTAGAATAGTTCAAGGGATGCTGTTGGGTAACTCTGGTGACCAGGATGAACTGGATACGGCTGTCGGTTCTCTTCCCCACCAGGAGTGGTATGACGCTGCTTCACTGCATGCCTAGATGACCTGTCTAGATTCTTACTGTACTGCAAACAGCGGGTGTGCTGGCTGACGAATAGGTGCAGAACTCCTGAGGCCTCTTGGAAAACTATGGGCCAGCCTTCTTCCTCAGACCAGTTTTTTAAAACCTGTTTTCAAAGGAACCTTGTGCAGCCGCTAGAATTTCGGAGGAGCGTCGACAGATTTCCCTGCATCCTCACATACGCAACTGATCTTTGGCCCCAGCATCAGGCAATCCCTGACAGATCAATATGGAATGTTCTGAAGGCGAAAGTTTGAACCCCATTGCCGAGCAGGGTTACAGAGTTCATTTTACAGATAATCTCAGTTTTGATTGCTTATATTTCCAGTATCAAGAGATCTTATTGAGCCAGATTAGAAAAAAGTTCCTTGCCTATGACCTTGGAAAGTCTCTGTCAATAAGATTAGATAAGACTAAGCTCATGGACAGATAGCCTGACTTGGCGTATGCTAGTTTAACCTGTGGCCAACGCAGCATGGAGCAAAATCGCCTGTAAAGCCACCCACTGTAAAAACTGAACCACATTCTTGTAATTTAAATTTGCATTTTTCTTGTCCTCACAATTCTAAGATGCTTAAATCTTATCTTACTGTTATTTCCTTGGTGTGTCCTCCTCCTTACATAACAACTAAGTCACACAACAGTGAATATCTGAGGTTTTATTGAATTTTATATACAGCATGAGTCACAGACAAACCTGTGACTACCAGACAAGACAAATGTCAGTCCCTCTCAACAGTTAGCAGCTTAAAGATCTATAAACTACAGTGTCACTGCCATACTCGTCATCCCATGCAAGTGAGTTTTTATACTTTTAAAAAACTACACTTACAGTTGTGTCAGTTGCCTACTAATGCACAATGTCACCTGGCCTACACAACACAGACACACACACACAACTCTTTTGCCACATTCAGAATTTCTCAAAACTGCTAAAGAATTTGACACCTGCCCATCATCTGGCATCTTGGTTCGTGCTGCTTGCACTTTTAATTTCTGAAGATCCATTCAAACAATTGAAAGACAGCAAGCCTTTTGGGCCAGTACCATAACTTACAAAATACCCCCCCCCCAATCTAACCATTAGGGGTCCACTGATGCAGAATAAATGAATTAAGAAAGTAGTAACTGTTAATCACAGAGTACATACAGGGGTCATACTCTGTATCACTTATGGTTGGAGGAATAAAATTTGAACATAGTAAGTAATCACTTCAGCCTTTTTTTAAACCATCAAGGTTTGATATGTTATGAACCATAGAAAATATGCTAAACAGTTGTTTCCACTAATGCAATCTGCTACATTCATTTCTTTTTGTGATCATCTGATATGTTATTAGTATATTACATATCACCTGGTCTAAATAGGAGACTGTGGAAAATCAATACATAACTGAAGAGGGCCACATCAGCAATAATGCTACACGCATACACTCACTCACTTGCAAACACTATCTGTAACAAATAATCCAAAAATGCTTGCAAAGGGAATTAGGGGTTTAAAGCTATAGTCACATTTTTAAACAATTAACATTTGTTAAATAATTTGATGCAGTGGGGAGTATGAATGAATGATTTGTTAGCAAAAAAGGCAAAATGACAAAGAGTCATGTTAGAATATTCAACAGATTGTATGCGACCTCATAAGACATGAATAGAAACCTTTAGAATGTATCGAAAGCCAGTTTTAATCATGAACCAAAACATGTTTTTGGAAAAATTTTGAAGATTAGGGCTCTATCATTTTTCTTTTTTTTCTCAGTAAACAGGTGTTAGCTGTTATAATATTTATCAAATAATACACATTCAGAAATTATACATGTTTACAAGAAAAGGCAATGAAATATTCACCAACAGACTTCAGTGAATATTGAATAAAGAATACTCATCTAGGTCGTATTTGTTCCTCTGCTTTGCTAAGCTTATCTACAGCAAATTCATGTGTAATGAAGGTGGCCCTAGAAGCCACTCAAGCATTTCAGGTTGGTGTCCAAATCATGCCCTTTTTAAATCATTAAGAACATGCAGAAAGGTGGAGGGATACTGAGATGCTCAGGAACAGTGGTCATAAATTCAATAAAGATTTCAAATGGCAGGGCAAGGTATGTTAATACAAACAGATATTAACCAACAATCTACATCTGTAGGGTTAGAGAAACAGAATGCTTAGTTTTTGGCCAGAATCTTTTGTAACTGGCAATCTCCTTGGGGGACAAGAAGATTTTTTTTCAGTACCAATCTGTGGTGCATGTTAGCATTAGGGATCTGAGTGTACAAAGAATTGCAATTCTGAAAATTATATGCTAAACCTCTTGAATGATGATTGGGGCGAAAGGAAGTTTCTCTATTGTTAGCTGACACTCAAAAGGCCAAGTTCCATTTAACAAAGGAGAGGGAATAGAAGCAAAGTTTAAATAATAAAACCTAAACAGTAAGAACTTCAGGATTCAATTCTACATTATGTAGGCCATTTAGGGATTATTAGGCTCTTAGATAAAACATGGCCAAGTTAGAATTAAATGATTATATTCCAGAAATGCAAAAGAATACTTAACTGTTTCACAATGAAAACAGCTAGAATTAAGAATTTTAATTCTGACTTTTACAAATATAAAGCTTGTTGGCCAGCATTAAAGAGACTTTGGAAAAACATGACACTATGGCTAAAGACTTACTAACAGAACCAACCTTCTTACAATTCCGGGCCCAGTTTACATTTCCAAAAAAGCAGTGAAAGTAGGAATACAAGCAGCTCATACCACTGCTTTTCTAAATAAGTGTCTTGCAAGAACAAATTCTATTTGGAACATTTGTATGTGTAATTTTCATGAGATCTTGTTTTACATGCTTGAAACAGGAAGAACCTGTTTCAAGCATATGTTGAGTAATGAGTGGGGGGGGGCACAGTTCACTTGCTCTTTTGTTTCCCTACTTCTTGGCAATGCCCAGCTGTCAGGAAGGCTGTACCAAATCTTACTAATGCAGGAGGTTTCATGATGTCCTATATGGGAACACAGTGAAGTTGAAGGGGCTGACTCTAAACATAAAAAGCACCAACAGTGTGAACACTGTTAGTAGGGCAGCTTTGGTTTCAGTTCTCAAGGGCATATTTGAATAATATGTTAACTTGGGGACTATTACAAGGATTGGCCTTGATGCTTCCTTAAGCATTTATGTCTTCCTTAGAGATGTCAGGTAACTTTATGATAGATCTGAAGCTGACTGACTGTAGCCTATCCCAGCTACCACTCCAACTTTGGCATGGAGGAGCCTAAACCGAAAGTTTAAGTCCTATTTATTATCAGTAAGGTTAAGACTCCCTATATCTTTTCTCAGAACAGCTCACTCACTCATGCTTTCAAAAGTTCCCATTTGTTTTTCTTAGAATAAACCAGGATTTCTTTATTCTCATTAAAATAACTGGTCTAGACACAATAGGACCAGGGTAAAGATTTTAAGTTCCTCCTTCACTTCCGAACAAAACAAAATGCATAGGGACCGGCAGGAGGGGAAAGAGAATCTGTTTTCTTAATGCTATGTCTGGAAGTTAAGGAGGACACAGATCACATTTGAACAGGTTTGCACTTGAGATACATTAAAAATTATTTGCAACCCTCAAAATCATCTCAGGACAAGATAGCTCACATTTATTCACACACTTCTTCATTTAAGAACATCACTTCTTTATTCAAAGAGAGCAAGGGAGAGAAAGAGAGATGATGCTCCCAACCATTAAGTTCAAAAACAATCCCCAATAAGAATAAAAAATCCTATTAGAAACAATAAGGAAGCACTGAGAGTTTGAGTATTACACTCTTCAAGTATGCCATTTGGATTTTTAAATCTGTGACTATACATACATTAAAAAACAGTCAAAGTGCAACCAAGGGCTTTTGCTTAAAATATTCAAAGGGCTACTTCAAAATACTGTAGTACAACTGTGCAGTAAGTGTGCACAGGATAACTAATCCACTTCATATATCTAGCCAGAAAGTTCAACAGCAGAAGAGGCAAGCCCAGGAAGAGATCCAGGAAGTTCCATATATTGCATTGGTCTTTCACTAGAGAAAGCCATCCTGAAGCTATACATTCAGACACAGAATGTCGTCAGGTTTCACAGTAGCATTATAGGATAATCAGAGTATCGCTATGCACCGGATTATTTTCGTTAGAATTTATGTTATTGTCCTTTCCTCCTCTGACCAGGTTTAGTACAGTAGTTGAGCCATAATTTAATTTGCCCATTGGTGTGCTCCAGATTTGTGTTTTATCTTTGTACACTTACAGAATATTAAGATTTGCATCCAAAGAGAACCATGCTACATAAAAACTGTCCAGGATTTTTGACAAAAAAAAAGAGTTCTTTAATAAAATCTAAAAAGAAACCCCACTATTGCCAATGTGTCTCAGAGAAAAAATGTTATTTTAACTGTAAACAAATTCACACTCGGACATGTTAAATCTTCGGTGGAGGAAGGAATTGCTGACCGAGCTTTGATGCATTTCCTTGCCAGGGCCAGCTCGTGTGAGTGAGGCAACAGCCTGTTCTTGCCATCATCTGGGGGGTGAAAAAAAACGTTCCAAGTAGCCAGCAATGGCATCCCAGTGCTTGCACAAGAAGGCAATGAAGACCAGGGCAAAGAAAGTGCTGAACGTCCTGCTGCGAGTTTTCATCAGGGGGACCACGCAGTTGGCCACGGTGGAGACAAAGACCAACAGGACAGCCATCACAGCTAGGAGGATGTTTATTAGCTTGCCCAGAAGGTTTCTGGCAGTGGCATTTTCAAGGCCCTCCAACTGGACAACTTGCTGCTGTTGCTGCTGCAGTTCCATCTTGGAGATTCTGGTCTGACATGCCTCTAGGGCCTCCTGTTGAGCACAAGAGAACTGCTTAGTAATCACAAAGGGAAGAGAGATCTATGAGATCCTACACTAGGCTCCCTTTTACCCAAATAGTACACATCTCTAGGCAGGAATGCAAGATGCCAAGTAGTCCACTGACAAAACATCAGGTGCCAGAAGCTGACAGGATAATAATCAGAAAGGCGGCCAGGCACATCTTCTAAATAAGCTACTAAACACACCCTGTAATGCCTTTGGGAATTCCTGGAGCTACAATCACACCTTGCAGGATATGAGTAACTCTTTTGGTTTCATATCCAGGAGCAAAATTAAGGTTCCTCCAGGCTTGTTCCTTATTATTACATTTACAACAGCATCTTCACTAGGCTATAGAACTGGGTTGCAAAAAATGTGGACAACTACCAGACATTAGTTTTCTGTATCTTTCTGCTACCATCTAGTGGTTATCAGGATTTCTACTGCCCAGATCTGGTAGCCCTAATCTGTAATATGGCTGACATAATCTCCATGAAACTGTAGTGGAAATAAATGAAAATAAATCCTACATAAAGTAATTTACAATTCATGGTATCATGCCAGAAGTCCCTATTAGGAACAATATGGAATGAGGAATTAAAAGTCTTTCAGGTTAGGGTTACTGCCTCTTGATTTTACTACCAGCTCATTTTCTGCTGCACAGACACTTAGATCTTAAACCTGAAAAATAATTGTGACATTTCTTGGTATAAATACTCCAGTTGTAGTAATACCATCCAAGTATAATTTATGCTGAAGTAGAAATAATACCGCTGGTGTAAATAAATTCTTTGAGATCAGGAGTACACAACTTCTGTAGCCTAAGAACTGTACTAGATTTGCAAGGCATGTCAAGAGTTACTCTCCAAAAATGGACTAGGACAAGGACCCCCTTTTTTGGATGGGGTTTGAGAGTTTTAAGTGGTGACAAAAAACACTGAATCATCTGCAATCAGTATAACCATCGAAGTGCCACCATTACTGTCCACGTGTACTGCCTATATCAGGGGTTCTCAAAGTACGGCCCGTGGGCTGGATACAGCCCACCAGGGTCATTTGTCCGGCCCACCTGCCTGATTGGCCACCGCTGCTGTCTGTCAGAAGCGGAAGTGTCGGGGCTATGTTGGGAGCTGCAGGCAATGCACGAGGAGGGAGATCGCAGAGCCGGACTATTCTATGTGACAGGTATGCCAGGTCCGGCGGCTCTCCTCCTCTCCTCAAACTATAGTCCGGCCCCCAACATTCTGAGGGACCGTGAACTGGCCCCCTGTTTAAAATGTTTGAGGACCCCTGGCCTATATGATCATAATCAAGAGAAAGGTAGACTGCGCAACCCAGTTCTATAGCCTAGTGAAGATGCTGTTATAAATGCAGTGATAAGTAACAAAAGTGTATCTGCAGCTATGGCTTTGTATTTGACATTATATTCCTTTACAAAAGGGCTGCAAAAGGGCAGGATGATTGAGAGTGGGGTTGCTAAACTTCTCCTCTATAGTTTTTGCTTTATAATATCTCTTCTTAAATCCAGTCTCTCCCGCTCTTTTTCCTGTTTCCCTATATGTGAGGCATAGCTGGGAGGAGGTCAAACATAGTTCAGATTTCCACACAGGTTTGAAAATCATCCCATTCCCTGAACCCTCTGTTGGCAGACACATGTGGCAGAGGTTTATTTCAACACAAAGGTTTACTGGCCTCACGTGTAATCAGCCCTCTTGTATGTAATTAACCACCATTCAATAGCTGAGTGAACATGCAACTCAGCCCTCTAAATTTAACTTTCCAGATTTTTTTAACGTTAAATACTTTATATACCTGGATCAAAAAAATCCCTCTCAAAGAAGTTCCTTATTTGGACAAGAAATATAAAAAGGTTGCTTCCTGAAGAAGTGGACCTATAATGCCAGTTACTCTTTTTATTTCTACATCTGTATGATTTC